GGAGTAAACAACACTGTAGCGGATGCCTTGTCACGCGTTTGTTTCCCCGCCCAAATCGACGGCATGGACCTTGTAAAACTGGCTCGTCTTCAAAAAGAAGATACCAAGCTTCAACATGAGTTGTCCAAAACAACTGTCAGCCACGTCTCGTAAACCGTTAATGCCCAGCTCTTGCTGCACTCGGGCTCACGCTGTTCCTTGAAGTTTCTCAGAAACGCTTAGTAATAACGGACGCATAAACCAAAACACCAGTTGTTGACTCGAGGATTCTTTATTGTAACACCAACATATAAACACTGTTACAACTAAGGTCTGTGAACAAATATTACAATAATGAATCACAATATTACTTCTGACAGTTGTCTTCTTACCTCTTTCTGAACAGCGACCGATGAGACGATGACTGGTGTATTGATGCCTCCGCGAAAATATAGGGAGTTTGGGTTTGAGCAAACAACCATGAATTGATCACTCAATCTTCAACTACATTGGCAACAACTTTGCAATCAGCCGAGAAACCCTTGGGTATGGGAAGAGATACTATTCTGCTCGAGGTTTTCGCGAGAACTGGTCGCCCTTTTGCGCCTAAAAGGTATCGCTGTAACGCCTCCAATACTTTGCATGGCTTATCCCACCCAGGTATTCGAACTACCGCCAAGCTCATAACTAGTCGGTTTTGTTGGACTTGCATTGGTAAGGAAGTAAGGGAATGGGCACACACGTGCTTAGCTTGTCAAAAGTGCAAGGTAATAAGACACACGAAAAGTCCACTTGGCACCTTTCTTCTCCCTGACGCTCGTTTCGAACACGTCTATATAGATTTGATTGGACCCCTTCCGGAATCCCATGAATATTTTATATATAATATTTTAACCTGCATCAATCGATTCACACGATGGCCTGAAGCAGTACTCATCAAAGACGTATCTGCTGAAGCAGTCGCACGCGTCTTTGTAGAAAGATGGATCGCTAACTTCGGATGCCCATCTTCCATAACAAATGATCGCGGACGGCAATTCGAAAGTGGCTTATTCTTCTCCCTGACTAAAATCATCGGTTGCATACGTTTTCGAACAACAGCCTACCATTCTCAAGCTAATGGTATGGTAGAACGTCTACGCAGACAGTTGAAAGCTGGTTTATCAGCTGCAAACAATACCCATTGGACTGAATCCCTTCCGTTAGTTCTTCTCGGTATACAAAACGCCCTGAAAATCGATGCTGGTTGTACTATCGCCGAGCTGGTATGTGGCACGACACTACGACTGCCTGGTGAATTTGTTTCTCCCTCGAGCTTCCCATTAGCGGTAGATAACGCCTCATACGCCAGCGGGCTTACAAACGCAATGCGTTCAGTTAAACCTGCTCCCCTTAGTCCACAGTCCATTGATGTCTTTATTCACCCGCGTTTAAAAACTTCTTCACATGTATTTGTTCGTCGTGGCTTTGTGCATCGACCTCTGAAACCTCCACATGACGGACCATATAAAGTCATTAAACGTATGGATAAATTCTTTGTCTTAGACAAAAATACGCGAAGACACCGTCATCAGCGGCCGTCTGAAACGGCTTACTTGCAAGGCAATCCTATTAGCATAGATCTGAGCGTACCCCATAATCCACAATTAATCGAATATCCTTTAGTCCTCAAAGAAGTCATTAGCACGGCAAAAGCCACTCAACCTTCTGTCGAGCCCTTTAAGAAAACGCGTTATGGATGTAACGTAAGATTTCCAGAATCACATCTATATCACATAACTCAGTGGTGCTATTCACCCAACTCATTTGTTTGTGGTATTGATTGTTTCTTTTCAGACACATCAATTTTTTTTATGAAGAATCACTAAACACAAGCAAAAAAGCTTTTTTCTATAACCGTACAGTTAACATGCACTAAAATATTAGATGTATACTTATTTTCGACGTTTTAGACTTTGCATTATTTTACTGTATGGTAGATGCACAAATTTTTACTCGCTGATTTGGTACACTTTCCTCAACAAGGTTCTTAGCATTCGCGTTTTCTTTTCCAGGTGCGACGGGCAATGGACAAGAAACAAAAGAAGCGCGAGATCCAACGAACAACATCAAGGAAGCGATGTACAAACACCCTATTAGCATAGGCAGATAGACCAGTAGGCACTCCACCAAGCTGCTCGTAAGAGTTTTTCACCCTTAAGGGAACCATCGAGTTTTTACTTCCAGCCGGTTATGTCTTAGGGTCTTCACAACCCCATTAGGGAGGGAGCTGTAGCAATAAATGATTCCACAAAATTATTGACCACAGCAATCATCAATGAACATTGGATGCTGACCCTTAGTATTTAAGTCGACTTGTTTAGCTGAAGGCTCCTGGCCAAACATCCTCTCCATTTGGTACCCCGTCGTGTCACATTTGTGCATAATCGCTAGCCAGCTTGGCTTCCACTTCAGTCCACGATTTGGTCCTGAAATATATCTCGTAGTTTGGACGATCAAATACTTTTGCTTTATCTTCGGTCCACGAGAAACGAATACTATAGAAGTTGTTGGTATAAGATCTTCCGTTAATATGCTCCGTACAGTTCACGAACGTCAATAAAGTCAGCCTCCAAAACCTTATTTATGTTGTTGTACGCCCGCGATTCCGTGTTGACATGAAAGGCCTTATTTCGCATACGGGCTGATTTTATCTTTGTCAGACATTGACTTGAGAATGAAATTGAACTGTTATTTAGTCTCTTGATTGATATTATCCCTTAAATCCCTCTGTGTATTTTATATGTTTTATTGTCATCATTGTCTACTTTAACTATCACTTGAAACAATAAAAGCTCCCACCAGAAGTTCGTCTTCTGTTTCCTTTTGCATGCGGGGATATTGTTGTTTTGGTGGTTGACATTGTAATTGAATCGCCTAAACGGTCATAAGACTATATAGAAAATGAAGGCTTTATATCTTGACTGCTCCAAGTTTTAAAGGTTCGGGTTTGAAACTCCAGAATGCATGTTTGTTTATACGTTAACGCCACCATATGAAGAAAGTCTCGGCGAGATGTAATACAGTGTCCAAAACGAACAGATCAGGCCAAGTCAACTAAATGTCAACCAAAGAATCTTGTATTCTTAGGATGTTATTTGGCTTTGTTTTTACAGGTTCACATCATATCAGGCTTCGATGACATTTCATGCTGTAATCTGCGCTGATGAACACATACGCACCTTGTCGGAGTGGTTAACTTAGCCACATTACATTCTAGTATACTGCCACCTCAAACGTATTACCAAATAATTCTGTTCTTTTAATTTGTGAAATTGTATCGGATGCCTCTTTGAACGACTAAAAGTCTTTTGGCTTTCTTCTTAATGCATCTGTCGGTGGCTGCTTGTACTGTGCGCGATTAGGTATAAAGCGTCGATAGAAATTGTTCAACCCCAGAAAACTGCGTAGTCTCGTGAGGGACGTGGGTGGGAGCATTGCTTTATGGAGCCTACCTCTTTAGGCATTGGTGCGGTCCCGTCACTGTCAGTGACATGCTCCAGGAATTCCATTCTTTCAGCCCCATTGCCTCACCTACTATGATTAATTGTCATGCCATTGTCTCTCAGTTTGCTCAATACTGCCCGAATGAGATCTTCATGTGTGTTTATATCCAGGTTAGTGGTGAGAAGGTCATCTATTCATGCGTTGGCGAACGGTGGTTCATGTGGCAAGTCATCCATAAGTCTTCGGAAAGTTTGTGAAGCATTCCGGAGACCAAACAGCATCTGCACAAATTCATATAATCCAAATGAGGTTTTCATGGCTATTTTAGGCGTATCTTCCTCAGGTATCGGACGATTGGGATAGACTCGAACTAAACCAATTTAAGTAAATACCGTGGCACCTTGATGACTAGTAGTATAGTACTGAATGTGTGGTGCTGGGTACCTGTCTGGAACAGTCTGCTTACTTGTTACTCTATTATCGCCACAAATGCGCCAATCAGTCTGATTTTTCTTAGGCACCACATGTGTGGGAAAATTCCACTGTCTCCACGAAGGTCAAATAGTCACCAACTGAAGAATGTAATCAAGTTCAGGTTTCACTATTTTTAGCTTGTCCGAAGCCAGCCCCACCTACTTAGAGGATACTAGGGGCTATACTTACTTATACAATGAGTATTTTTGGGAAAGCTCCAGAAGTTTGAGGGTCGGTCGCTACCAGATTCAGATATTCCGCTGGTATTTTCCGGAACCCTTCGGTTGATGCTGGTGGAGATTGGACTAGATTCAACGAGTGGCACGTGTTTGGCTGGTCATTCGTATACCAGGAGGTTTTTTCGTTGTTAAACGTCCCTTTAGAGTATCCTCTAATAAGTCATATTCATCTGGGAAATCGATGCCGATGGTTACCAGGTTTGAATCGAAGACAGCGAACACCTGTGATAGCTATCATTTAGACCAACGTTCGAGGAGCAGTCTGTTTTGCCCGAATGACACTACCTAGGTTTTATTAGCGGCCTGCAGAGTTACGTGGAACTTTTGTCTTTCCGGCTCTGCCTCTGCTGTTGGCATGATGATGGATGTAGCTCTTGTATCAATCAAGAGGTTTAAAGCAGACGTCTACGTCTACGCACAGTCATGTCAAAAGCTGTTGCAAAGGCTCGCTGTTAGAGTCGAGTGATAGGTGCAGCATCGATTTTGCAGTTCGGAACTTAGGATAAGACCAACAATTTTTATCACCTGAATTGGTCAGATGCAGTATGATATGTGACCAATAGCTCTGCTGGGAAATAGATTAATCAGAGGCCTCTTTGATCAGGTAGTCGCATCTTTAATGGATTTGTTCTTTAGGACATCTATCCTATTCCCTGTTGAGAAGAATAAATCACTTAAGAAGGTAATTTTTCTTAGTTTCTAGATAAATGAATTTGTCTATGAAGTAAAAGATGTACTCTTCTCGCTTACTTTGAGACATGAATCTGAATATTGTTTTACTAGTCTATATGATTTTTGAGAATATTTAAAATTTTTGTGGTAGTTACCTATATTCGTGGTACATAGAATATGTCGCCAGCATTGCAATGCATTTGTGAAATATGCTGTTGCGGGTGAGTGGTTTAGTAACACAAAGATTGCTCTGAACCTGAGATGTGAACAAAAGATGAAGCCTGTCTAAGTAACTTTTAAAAATCATAATATGCGAAATTGCTATTTAAATTCAGTGGATGTGGTTATTATACATCTTCCACGTCGGCTTATATTCTCTTACTTATTTAGTACCCAAGTGGTCAAAATTAAGCCAATCAGTTTATTTTTTTAGGCAACCATGGGTGAAATTCATGGAATTTCATATTATGCAGTGTGAAATTTGATAGCGCGATCTCTGTGATTATTCGCACCATTTTGAGCAGAAAATATATAGGAAGAACTTTTAGTGCTGGACACGTTGCTCATAAGTTTAGTCTAGGCGAACACTAGTTCTGTGAAAGTGGAGTAGTTCTAGTTTCCATTTCAGTTATCTTATTCATAAACTCTTTCTGCTTCATGATCTGTTTTTGAGATGATACACTGCGAAATTCGGGCTTCTATTCGTTTCGACTATGATGTGTCACAGAGGTCTGTGTCGCAAATAAATCAAATACTTAATCAGATTTCCGAAACGAAAGCTTCGAAACCTTTGGAACAGCAGCGATTGCTGTAAATGATATTGTGATCAGTTAGGTGCTTATCTCGTATTCTCCGATTAGCATTAAGGCTACAACACCCAATAGGAACTTATCGCTTGTAGTTCACTATCTTCAATAGGCATATCCCTTTCAAGGTGCAACAAAGTATATTTGTCCTTCAGTTACTGGTATCCTCTTGATCTAAGCAAAACATAAGACATAATACATAAAAATAAGAGACCAAGTATTGGAATAAGAATAACTTTAACTTTAAGTATTATCAGTAAATAATTTACGAGTTTCGTTAACTGATGTTCGTAAGCTGCATGTTCACTCCTTGGTCAACGAATAGAAGACCAGATGTTAACCTCAAAATTATTAAGGTTTTTACAAACTTCGGGTCCTTAAAAGTTGATAGATATTATAACTGTTTTAAAGTTATTATTTAGCTGCTTTTGTTACAGTAATAATGTAGTTTGGTTCACATTTCGCTGAACTTATGTTATAAGTTGTCTTATTGGGACCGCATTGTAAGTTGAGTAAATATGGTCCGGTTTCCAAACTCTACTTGTTTCTGTTATAAACATCATAAAGATTACCGTTTTATGAATAGTTCTCAGTTGAATGTAACGTATGCACACGAGACAAACACAACAGCGTTTGAACTGAAAAATGTTAAACCACTTACTACCAGAAATTTCGTGTTTTAACTAGATAAGTGAAAGTTTTATTGTTACTGTCATTCTTGATAAGTTTGTGTGAAATCTGAGATCTTATGTCTGACAGTGAACATGTCGTTGATTCATAACAGTTTTACAGTCACACCAAACAACTCATTTATGTCTAATCTGTTGCTGAGTTTTGACTATTATACCTTTATGCTCATTCATAAATTGTACTAATTTCTGTAATTAATGACACTTTTGTTTCTTTATTAAATTCAATGATCTTTGCTTAATTTTTAGTCGTCACAAATGTCCTCACCGACCAAAAGCAATAGTACCTTGGGGACCATGTGTTATGTCAGAATATTCAGCACAGTATCATCCCCATTGCATATCACCAGAGAGTTTAATAAAGCCACATACAAATAATTTATTTGCCAGTAGTGAGCCTGTATCAGATAAAACTACTCATAGGTAAGAAATTCACGTGAATGTTGATTTTACCTAATCAAATTTTCCCAGGACTGATTATGCATCACGTGGCATTTGTGAACCACCATACTTGTATAAACCACCACCATATGTACCACCGAAAGGAAAAATTGAAGATACGACATCCTATCGAAATGATTTTATTCCAAAGATATGTCCTCCACCAGAAATGATAAAACCAGTTGAACGAATGGGATGTCCAGCAAAATTCGATGGAAATCCAACTTATAGAAGTATGATTATATTGTTTGCTTACGCAGCAATATGTTTCATTAAACTGTCTAAAAGAGTCATTTTACGACTGGCTAATTTCTTAGCGAGTAGTCTTTAATTGCAGGTAAATCGAATCCCGCCAGGAATATGCTGGTATGGATTCTATGTCAACCCGAGTCTATACTGTAACTTAAGCATTCAATTTAGCACAAAAGAATTCTCCCTAGCAAGCACTAACACTTAGTTATTTATTCAAAATACAATGGCCTACTGTTTCTAGACATTTTCATATCTGCCTCACAGTGTAACTGCCTCCTACTATCACTGGTGAGTAATTGTCCTAAGATCTAGCTTATTGGACCTTATCTGCCACAATGTTTCATTAAAGCTTCAGGAAAAGCCACTTCAAAATAGCTAAATAGATGGCACTGGATTAAAATTAAACTGCGGAAGTTGCAAAAATTAGGTTTAATTAGAGTTGTACCCCGTTACATTCTGGGGCCAGCTAGGGAACAACTAAGCGCCAAGTAACACTAGGGATCAGTTGCACACGATTTTGAGACATTTTATAAGTTGGATTTTGAACAAGTGGCTGGCTGGTAACCAGTCCACCTCTTAGCCTTAAACTCTTGCACATGATGTCTCACAATGTTTTTTGGGCGTGCATTGAATGGTATAAGTAGGCTCCTTTTTGGATTTATACTGAAGTTACTTTTCACTTCATTGGCTCATTTGATTCTAGTGAGGTACTGCTATTTTCAGGCTACTGTATTTCAAATTACTTTGAAACTGTCGGCAAAAGTAATAGCCCAAGACTTAAGCTCTGTTGACTAACCTAACCATTAATTTCAAAATTGTCTTATCCAGCAACATTGTCAGTTAAAGGGAAATTAGTGTGGAGAAGTAGTCAGAGAACTCGCTGGTTTCCATATTTATTTCCAATGTCTCGCTACTGTAATAAACTAAAGTTTTGCTCAGTAAATACCTTTGTTCATCCAAAAGGTGATTATCGTCCATGGGATGTAAAACCAAATGTTCCAGTTAGACCAAAACATGAAAAATCTCAACTGCCAAAATTTGATGCTCAACCAACTTATCGCCAAGAGTATATACCACATTGTATGCAAAAAACTGAAAGTTTTAAACCAGTACATTTACCAAAAGTATACGATGAGCCATTTAAAGGTGATACAATCTATCGTACAGAATATGTAACTCCACCAATGAAACCGAAAACACCACCGAAACCACAAACAATAGCTAAATCAAGTGTACCGTTAGATACTTTGACAACATTTCGTAAAGATTTTACACCAAAAGATATATGTAAGTTAACTTTTTTATAAAACGACTTCAAATGTATTAATTTATACATAATATTTGGAAAGCTCACTTGTATATTTAACATTTATTCCTGTCATGTTGCAGAAAATACGTATGTCCATGCTACCATACTTTGAGTGTCAGTCAGCAGTAAATTCTAGTTGACTTAGATGTTGTATCTGATGGTATTTGTCGCAAAGATTTACTCGTAAAATCTATGAGACTAAGTTATCTTTCATTATGATAAAGGTTTTTGTATTTCCAAATGAATGAAAAGCAAGACGATATTGTTTTTACTGACGTTTCGCTATTTAATGCTAATAGATTTATCAATGTATTATTAAACCGGATTTTACAAAATCTCAGTCAGTAAAAACAATATCGTTTTGTTTTTCATTCATTGGGAAATACAAAGACCTTTATTGTAATGAATAGCACATACCCAATGCCCAAAGTTTTCAAACTGCTAAAAGTGAACTTGGTTTGGACATATACAACTACGTTATCTTTGTTATTTAAGCCCATTTTGTTTGAATACAAAGTTAGAGAGATTTTTAATAAGCTGTTCTACTAAAAACTTTCCTACTCTAAGACCGATTGATATACACCAATCAGTTGGATGCTCGGCGATGACTGAATTTTATTCATTTATTTTTGGTTGTGATCATGAGGTAGAAATACAGGCACATGTAGTAAGCTGTAAATTGACTGCGCATATTACTTGTCGGTTTAAAGGTATTACTGAATCGAAATAGGCTATCAATTACATCACTTGGATAAACAGTTAGTCGTTAGGGAATATAACTAGAATTGCAAACAGACTAATATCAATAGTAATAGTTATAATAACAGTTTTAATAGTGTTGAAGTGAGTTAAGATAATCTTACTGATAAAGCATAGTTTTAAATGAATGAAGAATAATAATAGTGATAATAATAATAAAAGTAATAAAAGGAAAAGAGGTAGAATAATAGTAATAACAAGTAGAGAATAATAAGTTAAACGTATTACCATGGTAGATTCAGAGTCACGACCATCTCCTTTTGTACACGGAGACCTGGTTTATAAACTCGAATTGCACAAGCCTCTGCAACTGCAAGCATCTTCTTGTTTCTTTGTTTACTGACAATGGTGAATGACTTGGCCACGTTGATATCATGTCCGTAATCCAAAAGATGTTTTTTATTGAGGATTTTGGCACTTTGCACTCAGCTGTTTTCAACCATTTTGGCAAATGCTCCATCATGCAAGTAGACAATCACCTTTCCGTACGACCTATGTATTTGCTGCCACAAATACACTCAAGTTGATATATGCAGTTTGAAGTGTCGAGGATTGGTGACTGGTCTTTCCCAGATTGTTGAAGCACTCGCTTGGTGGTGTTAAGGATAACAAGTTTTGCAGCATAATAAGTTCTCGCGAGAGCTTTATGGAGTCTTCGTTTGACTAATTCCTGTAAGTCATCTCGTTTGAATGGCAAACTGATATATACAGATTTCTTCGGAACTGTCTGGATATTTTCTCAGGGGGTATTTTTTTTAGAGTATTTATTAATGAACTTCTCAGGATATCCATTCTTAGATAAAATATCCTTCAGAGATTTTATTTCATGTTCAGTAGTACTGTCAGAACAAGTTTTTCGTGCTCTATTGAACAGTGTTCTGACTAAGTTCTTTTTATACTGGATTGGAACAAAGCTCTTGAAATGCATGTACTGTCCTGTCCATGAAGACTTTCCGAAATATAGATCTTTCGATTTTGCCATTATTCATTTTGGCTAGAAAAACGTCTAGGAATTTAATAGTATCGTTTTCCTCGTGTTCTACTGTAAAATTGAGATTTGGATTGCATGAATTGAATTTTATCAACATGTCTTCCGCTTTAGATCTGCTTTCACAGACAATAAAAATGTCATCAACATATCTTAGGTATACATCCGTTTCTTGTATATGTTGCTGCAATGTACCAGTTTCTAGGCGTGACAAGAATAAGTCTGCGAAAAGTGGTCCCAAAGGGCTTCCCATTGCGACACCATCAACTTGACGGAACAGACACCCGCTGAATTGGAATTGGACATTTTTAGTACATAAAAGTGATAGTTTCCTCAATTCCGATGTTGGAATGGGTATGTCTTCAGCTTCTTTACATATGAAGTCGATAGTCTCAACGACTGGCACCAGTATACTACCAGTATACTATACCAGTATACTAAAACAATAAGCAAAAGAAATTTTAAAAACGGATCAGTTTTTAAGCAACAGTTTTATTTCTTTTGGTCATCAGCTGACGAACTGTAATGACGTACTACGTCGTTACATGAATAAGTTAATTAATCTACTTTGTATAGTAGTTAATTGTCTACATTGTCATTTCATTGTATCATTTAAAAAAAATATAACTAGGTCATGATGGCTTAGGAATGATAAGCAAACAAAACGACTAACATTTCTTTGCATTTCTGTGAATCTCTTGTGAATGACAAAATAGCATTGGATAGGAAATAAAGTTAGCAGAGCTTATTTTATTGAGTAGACGTATCTTTTAGTAAAATACAAATTATTAGACGAATTTTATTTCTCTAGATTTCAACTTATATGTGCTACGAAAAAAACTGTGCGTCGGTGGCACAGTGCTTAGGAATCTCGCCGACCATGCACATGGTCCGGCTTTCGATCCCCTGTCGACGTACACCTGATATCAATGGTTGGCGTGCGAAATTCGGGTTACCGATATCGCATGCTAAAAATTCCATACTTGTACCAAAAATACAGTGTGGAATAAAGCTGTAATCAAAATAAATAAATAAATTTCAGTCTGATGGTCTTATCTAGATGTGTATTTAGAATTCATTAGAACGATATTAATATTTAATTATACTGTAATGGTAATTGAATGAATAAGATTGTTTAAAGCATATGTAATGTTTGCTGGATGAACATACATTGGACGTAAAGAAAATAAAAGGCCTTACATTGATTTCACTATTTGCAAACAACGTCATGCATTATGCACTATGAAAGCTTTGTTCACGATTGTATGCTGTCTGTTAGCTTATCCTTTCGATTCACCCTCGGTGACTTTGCCAAAAGGTAATCAAACAAACTGTCATTCCTTCTCTGAAGACAATACTCCATATACTACTTAAATATGTTTATAAGTTGCACAGACCACTGTATTAAACAACTACCTATTAAATTGTAATATATCATTGTAAAACTGGTTGTACTGAGAAGGACATACATTAATCAAAGTTGGATTCTCCTATTATTATTATTATTATTATTATTATTATTATTATCATCAAACCTTCAGTATTGTTTTCAATACAGCTGCATTGCCCAGATGACTTGTACATTCCAGTCTTTTGTCAGTCAAGCTGCGCATGTGTTATGGACTTGAAATAACATGCTGACTATTACTTCCTTTTCACAATACAATCGTATTAAGGGTTAATTGGAGCATTGATTGTTGTGATTTTTACACTAAGTTTAAGTTCTTTATATTTATAAATGATTTTATATTTCTTTTCTATTTTCAAAGCAAAAATAAGACTTCATAGCACTTATTTCAATAAGATCATGAAATCAAAGTATGCTAAAATATATATCCACTTATCTCTCTCCTTCTGATTACGGCCAACAATTTAAGATATGTTGTCAGGTTATTGAAATACTCAAATGTTGGTTTGCGAGGATTTGATTTGATCGATTACAGGATTTCATCATGAGTTGACATTGGTTAGAGAACCACTGGAGAACCCGGGGGTACTGGACAGCCGTTTCGTCCTAGTTTGGGACCGTTTAGAAGTACACACCCACTGGGGTTCAAACCCAGGACCTTCCGATGACACTGATTAGTAGTTGCGCTACATTTTGAATTGGCAGAAGTTGGAATTCATAGGCCACTAAATAGGGTCCCAGTGGCTTAATAGTCTATGAACTCATCTTGTAACCGAGAGGTGCTGGGTTCGAACCCCTGTGAGTTCTTACTTCTGAAGAGCCCCAAGCTAGAAGGGAACATGTATCCAGTACTCCCAGGTTTTCTAACGGCTCTCTAACCGATGCCAGCCCATTATTGAAATACGGTGGAATGGATGTGTCCAGATTCTATTTCACTCATAATTCTTTATGTTTGAATAGCCCAGCAATATGTCAGCTTATATTAATTATTATGAAAAACCACTGCCAGTTTTTTTACTTATTCCACAGGTAATTTACTTGTGAAATCCGTCTTTTTTATATAGAAGTACATGTGAAATCTTTCTTTTACTCCCCATGCCTACATTTTACGCTATAATTCTTAAACAAAATTTTGAATTGTCTTCATCAAATAAGTCTAGTGTATCTGTGGTGAGAGCAGGCTGCTACCTAATTGGTAGGCATTAATTTACGTCAATGTCTAGGTCACTAATATTGGCCGTGAGAAAATATGAACAAGGCTAATTCAACAACCAATCACAACAGACTTAACGCGGTCAAATAAGATTCGCAGACATATGGCTTAACTTTCCGAGAAACTAGTCGCCTTGAGCAAGAAACAGCCAATCAGAAGACTGTGTTTGTCTGCCTGAATAAGCTATGATAATGTACATGAAATACATATAAATACGTGCTGATTTCCTTAATAAAATGATCTGTTGCCGGCCCTTGTCTTCTGTTGTTACATATCGAAATCATAATTAGAGAAAAGTGTTTACATCCAAATTTTTATAAAATTCCAAATTTCAGAAGTCAATTCTATGAATACATATCTGAGACTATTATCTCATTTTTACTGAAGTATGATAAACTAAGAGTTCCTTTTGATGCTATATCGCTGGGAGTAATCAACAAGACTGCATGAATCTAAGTTTCCTGTTTGCGTGCACTCGTCAGTAAGACTTACCTAAAATCTTGTAGGAACTGATTTTCCTTCTGATTTCGGGTCCCTGTCTATCCAGTGATTCAGTCAGTGACTTTGCTACTAAGTTATTAGTGCTCACAAATTTTCTCTGAGATCTTTTTCGTTGAATTGAAGATTACTTTATCAGTATGATTATATGTACTTAGTCGCCTCCATTGTATCATTCATTATATTCAATGTTTCGCGGAAAATTAGTTTCCTCATCAAGTAATATATATGTTATTTAATCCATCAAACCGAATGCTTTGCAGCAACGTGGGAGATGCGGATTAGATTCCCCGCCGATGCACTCCTAAACCTTTACTAGTTGATAGTTGGCTTGGAAAAGAAGGGTTTGTGAGATTTACAACTCCACCTCTTAAAAGATAACAACACCACTACTGAGACTTCAGAGTTTTAGGTCCTATGTTCCATGTGAAACTCAAGCAATGAAAACTAGCCAAATTGTTGAATAAGATAGCTAAATAAATTCAGTTTCATAAATCTCTTCTAAACTTGGCTCAGAAAAAAAAACTAGATCGAAATAATTAGCATGTTCATCAGGAGATATCAAGTAGTCAGAACACGAAGATCCACTCTACAACTCGCTCCTATGAAAGACGTGTACATCAAGCTACCCTATATGGGGCATCATAGCAGTTTGATAACCAGACAAAGATTGAACGCTGCTGTTAAAGAGACTTTTTATGCAGCTACGATCATAATAATTGAGAATGTGAAGCCAATATATACATCCATCTAAAAAGGATGTCGCATCCCACTGTATTTACCAATTTGAATGTACGTGTGGACAAACATACATAGGGAGGACTCATCGATCTCGTCAAGTAAGGGCTGGCTTCAAAGCATATTCCTAAATGACTCCAGAAACAAATAGAATCTTCAGAACCCATTAGTGGTGAGAACAGGAGACCTAACTCCTCTATTGCGAAACATATTATAGAGACAGGACATAAAATTGACATTAACACATCTTTTAGACCTATCTATAGAAGGTGTTTGGGGCATATCCTAAAGTTTGTGGAAGCCCTAGAAATTAGAAAGTTTAAACCACTTTTATGAGTTCAAAGCAACAACTCGTCATCACACCAAACCTTCCTTGGTAAACTTTATTTTTATAGCAGACAGGGTAGATGTACTATTACCTCTGTTACTTGGTTTAGTGGTTTTCATTGTTATTTCGACTTTCAGTATGTTATTTCAACTTGATCTAAGTCTATTTTCTCACCCTTAACTCTTTGATATTCAAGTAGTGGTTTGTAGGGATTTGGTTGGTTGGTTACAGGATTTCATCATGAGCTGACATTGGTTAGAGAACCATTGGAAAACCTGGGAGTACTGGACAGTTGTTATTATTAATTAATTATTTATTTATTACTTTTATTCCTATGACAAATCCGTGTGTGATCAGATTATTCGAAATGTGTTGAGAAAATACAAAATTACACGATTCAGACAAATTACGTCTTCTTATTGCTTTGTCTATATATATCTTAATTTTAACAGGTCTAAATCCACCGTATAAACCAAGTCAGCAACTGGTCACCTCTAAAGATCCAATAAGTAAATTAACAACAAATCGTATCGACTTTAAAGATTGGGGTTGTCAACCACCAGAGCGTGCTGGAGCTCCACCATATCAACCAATGGAAGGAGATAGATATCTTGATAGTACATACAGAAATGATTATTCTGAAGTAAGTTTAATTTTAAAAAATTTCGATGATGATAGTATTTGCATGAGTTAGTTGCATTCATTAAACTTTATTATAAAGGAAAATCAAAAGAAACTGTACTTCCACTATCGTGTTTGTGCGTATGTGTATGTCTGTAAAGAACTACTTGTGTATTAGTTAAAAGGAGGAAAAAACTCCCACATTTTACGAAAAAAGGGGTAAAATAATTTTCAAACCAATATCTATTCTTAGCTGATTCGAGCTATAAAGTGATATTTAAAATCACGATGCTCCGGAGAATGATTACGGAAGCTTACCGTTTTCGGGAGGCTTCATTTTACTTTTTAGATGATTTTGAATGAAATATTGGGTGATAAATGTAGACTATATGTTTAATTATAGCACTCTTTATTGATCCACTGTTACCTTTTCGTAGCCAAGTTGGATAATGTTCTTTAACTCTTTTGGATAAAACAAGCATCGAACAAACTATATATCTGTCTCCACATGAGCAAGTAAATTGGTAGACACACATATCAATAGTCAAATGCTATAGTCTAGCTATGGAATTGTTGAAGAACAATTGGCGGCTTGAGAATACCAGTCGTAGTGTAGCAGCAGGGAATGTTCTTTCCAGGGTTTGGATATTCTTCTCTTTAAGATGTTGGCCAGAAGGTCGCCTTTGAACGCCACATTGATGTATAGCATCTTCTTCATAATTGTTTTTCAGCCCTATATGTTTATCTATAAAGCGTGATAGATTATTATTATTATATCCTTTAATACCTAGAGGAACATAGGGCTTCAGCTGCGCAAAAAAAAATAAAAAAAAATCTCCAGTGCTTTCTGTTTTCTGCCAACTTTTTCACCCAGCTCCAAGTCTGCGTGATGGATAGCCATTCTCAAGTAGTGTCTCCTCTTCTACTGATTCCCCGCTGCATATTTTGTGGATTCTAGTCGCAAGAGATATTATCAGGTTCCGCTCGCGATTGATGAGTACCAAAGTGTGAAAGTTTGTCAGCTGGTTGTTCCACATAGGCTTCCGATATACTGATGTGTTTAGGATCCTATCAGTCTTCTTTGTCAGTCGGACCTCCAGAATTGAGATTGTCTCTCCGGTTTCTGCTTCAATTGTAAATTTGATGGCTGGGTGGCAAATATTAAAAACTTAAAAGACATTATTCAGGTCACATTTGTTATCCTAGATGATGATCTGAAATTGCTCAGTAATAAAGACAGAGAGTAAGAATGGATACTCACCAATGACACTGGATAACTATCATTTTCCGTTTAAAAATAACAGAATATAAGAAATATGCCTTACTGAGTCTCAAAATGTAACACAATAACCGTGGAACTCAATACTGTAAACAACATTATCCTATTTCACTGCATAATATGCCTCATAAACAAAGTTATATAGAATTTAACATCTTGAATTTAATTCTGTGCAGGTTAATGAATATGAGAAACTGAAGGATTTTAAATTTGAAGAAACAACCCTTTAGTTTCGTCTAAATTTACGTAGTTCTATCAAACTAGCACTTTTATTGTAGTTTATCATATTCCTTTTTACCAACATATTATTAGTTTGTGGAAAATTAAACATAAAGACAGATAAATTTAGAACCATGCACAGAAATGAATTAGTTCTATTCACCACATTTTGTAAGAATGCACCACGAAGAAGAAGAAGAAGAAGAAATACAGAAGAATGATTAAGTTAAAGTTGATGGAAAAACTGAAAACTTAAGGATGGTTTAGAGAGAAGCAGATCTAACAGTGTAGTCTCAGAGAATGTCATCAGAAAATCTAAATTTACACGCATCATCCAAATTAAAACCAGGAACTCATAATAATAATGAAATTAATCTAAGCGACAGATATTTCACTACATTAGAAGATTCTCATAGTAAAATTTAGAAATTACAATATAAGTGACTATTTTTTTCGTAATTTTAGCGCGATTACTAGTCACTGTCACCGGCGAGCATTTCTCCTCACTCCTGAAGGATACGCCCCACTGGTTACGACTTCTCACTAGAACTCCAGGAGACTTTACCCTGAAGCCAGTCACCAGCGAGTACCAGATTAATTTTCAAGACTTGATTTGTAGGGATGTCCTTTGTTTTTCAAGTGTTCACGAGAGTGTTTTTCAAGTTGGCGCATGGTACGCCCGATGTGCTCAGGTCCGCACGAGCAAGTAAACTGGTATATGCACACTGAAGTGACGCAATGCAACAGCTTGTCTTTCGCGTTCTGGCTGAACAGTTTCTTGCAGGAAAACGTCGGTGGTAAGCTTGCAGCGAAGTTTGTTTTTCTCAGAGATTTGCAAAAACGTTTCCGAAGGATTTCTGCTTCATTGTCACTTTTGAATTCTAGATCAAGTAGAAGCATCTTCTACGGGACGGATTGGACTTGTTCAGAAGTCTTCTTTGATTTTAGATTCTTGTCTATGAACCTAGGCGGAAAAACGCCTTCCATCAAGGTTCTTCAGTGATTACGCAGTTCTTCGTTAATCACTTCCTCGCTGCACGTCACGATGAAAAAGCGTATATCAGTTTCCTCTTTTTGCTTAAGGGTACGAAGCTTTGAAAATTAATGAATTGCCCATTCCAGGTAGGCTTTTTGTATATGGACCTTTCCAGAGAGTTGTTGACATTCCTTCTCAGAGGGACGTTGAGAAAGTGGAACATTCCGTCGGATTCAGCATCAAGAGTAAAGTCGATTTTTTGGTGGACATTGTTGAAGGTTTCGAGTAGGTTTTCAAGGTCCAGGTTCTCATCACAAATAATGGAAGTATTATCAATATATCTCTTGTAAAGATGGAGGTCAGGGATAGCTTATGTTTCTAAATAAATTTATTTTTTGGGATAGATTTCTGTTGTTACATACTATCCATTGGAATAACGCGACACTTAAAATTTTCTTTTTATCTCTGGATAATGCATCAATTGAAAACAGAAACCAATTTGTCCACCAGCTGCAATTAAACCAATTGAAGTACCAAAATGTGATGCTAAATTTGACGATACTACAAATTATCGTAATGATTATGTCCCATGGAATACTAAAGCAGAACATGTCAAACGACCTGATACTTGGGCACCACCAACTGTTCCATTGGATAAGGATACAACAAATAGAGTAAGCCGTTTTACTGCAGTATGATTAATCCTCTATTTTGTTTATAAGATACTCTGTTATTTGAGTTTGTGAATAATATTTATGATTTTAAAAGTAATTAACACAGTTTTTTGTTATTTTAAGTATACAAAAACTTCAGTTTTTTTCACTCATAGATTTCCAAATGAATCTACAAAACAAATGTAGTTCTTTTATAAATTTCCGTTGTCGAAGTAAATTTAATAAGTTATCAAACAAAACAGTGTGAATTCCATATTTCTTTCCATATGCTTTTATCCAATTTAACTCATCTGAAACGTTATTATATGCCTGTCTGAAGTCATTATCATATGCTCTTGGTTTAGTCATTATATTTTCAAGTATTGGCTTTGTAGGGACTTTGTTTGATTGGTTGGAGGAATTCATCATGGGCTGACATCAGTTAGAGAACCATTAGAAAACCAACTGGGAGTACTAGACAGCTAGCTGTTCCGTCCAAGTTTGGGACTCTTCATCAGTACACACCCACCACCAGGGATTGAACCCTCGGCCCTGCCGATTCATGACACAGCGCGAACACTTCGCAATGTCTTCTCTGCTGAGTTACTGCCTCACCTTCAACCTGCTGCACTCTCCAGCCAATCATACAAAACCCCTACAAAACCAATACTTGAAAATTAATGTGATGCTCATTAGTGACTGGCCGTATTCAGTCAGTTAACGTGGGGTTCTAGTGGGAAGACGTGATCAGTAGGGTGCTTTATCTTTGAGCATATTCACTTACTTTCTTCCCCACAAATTTCGCTCCAACGCATTAAAATGTGTGAATATTTTTCATTTTAACATGATTTGAGAATGTTAATTGGTGGATGGTGACTAACAGTGGAATCCACGATGCGCAGTTCGCCCTATTTGAGACTAGCCATGAGAGCCAAATCTTGTGCAACGGGTCATATTAATTATTTAATTGAATTTTAGATTTTCCTGTCGATTGATTGAACCGAAGTGCTCAGTCTCAGGTTGACATGTCGTCTTCCAGTGCAGATACTTCGACGATGTCTGGGCATTTAATTAGAATTTAATTAGGTGGTTCTAATGGCCCAAGTGGTCTAGTGGATAACACTTTGGCGTTTGAAACTATGGGCCCTGGGTTTGAGCCTCGGTGGGAGCATCATCATTCATTGGGAAATGCAGGTAAATCCAGTTGACGAGTCCCAAATAGGACAAAATGAGCATCCTGGATTCCACTGTTAGTCACCATCCACCAATTAAATGCTGATTACATGCTCTGACATCGTTGTATCAACTGCACAAGAAGCCAACATGCCAACCTGAGACCGAGCACTTCGGTCCAATCAATCGACGGAGAATTCTGAATTCTAGCGGTTAGGATTCCTGGCTTTCACCCAGGCGGCCCGGGTTCGACTCCCGGCGCGGGAGCGCTTTGTGCGTCGGTGGCACAGTGGTTAGGACTCTCGCCGACCACGCATATGGTCCGGGGTTCGAGCACCCGTTGACGCACACCTGATATCTATGGTCGGCCTGCGAAATTTGGGCTACCGATATCCATGCTGAAAATTCCATACTTGTACCAAAAATACAGTGTGGAATCAAGCTGTAAATCAAAAAAAAAAAAAAAAAAAATTCCATTGAAAGTTTTAAGAATAGCTTAAATGTCTGGAAATCAGTAGGACCGTATTTTTTTACACCAGTTTCTATGATATAAAAATGCACTCATTGTCTATATAACTTACCCAATAACTAAATAAACCCCTCAAATTGTACCGACCCACTGAAATCTTTAAAACTCAGGTAGTTGTGATAAATTATTGATAATTTAGAACAATTATCCACTTTAGTATATATCAGCATTTTCTATGTTTTCTAAGTGAGAGAGTTTAAATAGCAAATGGATCACTTATTTGTAAACACTATGGTTCTCTGCTTAAATCGCTGGGTTATCTGAATTTCTAACCACCCACAATGGAGTCATCATAGTTTCTCTAATTCCCATTGTTTTAACCATTCATTGATTTGCTTGAATCGGGAAATGTACTCATGTATATTTTGATTGGTTTTTGAATTGTCAGAACACATTAGTCGTAAATGAATGAAAAATATTATGGAGGATTTATCTATTTCAAACTGAACTGCATTGCATCATATGACACAATATAGATTGTAGTTTTACTTGGAGATCGTAGATGAGTGGTAAATATTATGCAATAAATTACGCTTAGACTTTGCTACATTGTGTAGACATTTTTTCAAGAATAAAGCCACTTTTATTATTATTATTATTTAGTTTGACGACTAAATCAATCTACTATGGTTGTAAATCTTTGTCCAGAGTTCCGAACCATTCTTCCAAAACGCAGTCTTTTTCGCAAATGGATCTACAGGTCACTGTATCTTTTCATCACTCTGTTTAGCTTATTTTCTAGACTATAGCAATTAGGGCTTAAAGCAGTGACTTGGTTTTCATATTAGTGTCGTTGTGTTCTATGTGTTGGATGGTGCAATTGAGATATTGAAGTCAGCTCCGAAGAAGCTGTCTAGGAAGAAAAGGATAGCTTTGAAATTAAATCATAAAGTTCACACAAACTAAACACACCAACACGCTACACTTGTGCTATGAAACATCACTTCTCATCTTTCAAATGTTTTTTTTTCTAAAAAGACTTGATACCCACCTATTTAGCAAGGTTGCCTAGTTTAGTTGTTCCAAGACATTCAATGAAATTAAAGCAGTGTGATTAAACTAGGAGTATGTGAAAAGTAGTCGTTTATAATACGTACAGTTTATTTGCGTGTTAATTTGAATCAATCTCCCACAGATATCAAATTTCGTTGAAGCCACAAACTACTTAAACCACAATAAAAGTAATAGGAATTAGTTCAACAAAATATATTTCTCTACATTGTGTTTCGATTTGTCCCAGTTTCCTTGATAATATTTTTCATGTACTAGGCTATGAGCCACACTCAATTTCCTAGGGTTAATAGGAGGAGCAGAATTCAAACACGGAACGTATTGGCTGAAATTCAAGTGTCCCAGTCAACTAGCTACAAACCACTGATGACAATCAGTAACAGAATGAAAGTGATCAACATGGATAGGTCTTTCTGGAGAACACATGTAAACAGTGTCTTCATCTTTGATCTTCTGCGTTTTCACTAGACTATGTTTTTATTAGCATATGTTGAATCATTATTTCAAGATAAGGCTAACTTGGTTACCTGGTAGGGTTTGTATTTCTGCGTTAATATTGTTTTATTCCTTCACGTTCTCAGTGGAACATAGGGCTTCAAGCTAGAGCTTTGAAGTTTCGGTATCAATGATGTCTATTCTTGAGGAATGGGGTTCCTAGCCTGATGTCCAACCTCCCCTCTTTACTAGTTTTATTACTGACTTAACCAGATAAAGCCATACGTTGGCCGGCTATCAAAGTTCGGACCACATGCGTGATCGGGGAGCGTTCTACCATTGTGCAACCGGCGCACGTCAGTTCTTCACAAAATGAAATTCCTTGTTTCATTCAACAGCTCTTCTCACTACGGATAATCAGGTGGAAATACAAATCACGAATCATTCAACTCGTCACTCCGTATAATTAACGAATTTCCATGAAAGGTCTTAACATACACTTCAGCTTCTCCTCTAGATAACAGAAATTAGACTATTATGTAATTCAGTGCTGTAACAATGAGTTTTCATCACATGATGCTAGGTGTAGTTTCAAACATAACCCACTCAACTCCTAATGAAAATAATTTAGTCCTCTTGCTTTCCATTTTAATGTATTTGACCTAACCAAGTCACATTTTTAGATTTTCGAATGTACTTTATATTTCAATAGAAATTAACCAAATCAATTATTTGCTTTTATCTGTCGTATTTGGTTTTGAACTTTATTAATTCATGTCATCAGGTAGCTTGTGATTCATGATCATCTCAGACAACATTATCTGTCAGTTCTTACCTCATCTGTCCTTTGTTTTTCTATCTTTTGTGTTAAACTTAATACTACTTACCATTAGTAAGTAGTAGGCATTTATTTTTTGCTTTTTAAAGACGACTTCGTTTGTTTTTGAAGTTTAACTCACGTAATGTATTAATGCACTGTTTGATGTATAATAATTATTTTTTAGTTAAAAGTTATCTGTTGTGTATGCTTTATTTATGTCCTTGTTATTGTCGAAAATTGTTTATTCATATCCCTTATTATAATTAAGAGTTAAAAGTATTGACAGTGAGGCTGAAGTCTAATAGTTTGCTTTATCACAAAAAACATCACATATACTGTCTAATATTATCGTTGGTAAGGAGATCTTTTCAAATCATTAGTTCATTTTCACATAGTTATCTGATCTTCCAAACAATTTTTGATAAAAGCAGAATTAAGAAGTTCATAATTCAACATTTAATGACATGAAATGTTGTTACCTAGTCGGAAGAGATATATGCACATTTTATATAATCAAAAAGATTATGCATAATTCCTATCATAAAGTGAAATTTTTTAAATTGAATGAATAAACGCACACGAGCTTGACCACTGAATTATAATACAAACAAATAGATGATGGTAAACAAACCTGTAACCGGAAAAGAAGTTAAAATAATGTCCCTTTATGTATATCACTATAAATTTCAAGCTTAACTTGAAAGAATAATAATGCTGACATTCTTTTTATTATTGAAATTTTGTGTATCTGTAGTATTCGTAGAAAAAATCATGTAGTTTTCTTCTGTCCTATCAGTTTCATTCCTTTAAATTCAGAAGTATCCTGTCACTTGATTATTATTATTATTATTACTGGATTTTAATTCAAACGAAAATTAATGAAAGCGTCTTGGACGTAGTTGTGACAACAGAAGGCAAGACACGGAAGGCAAGGTATATTTTCCATTGATCAAACCTCTATTTGTGCATATACAGTTTATATTCTTTAACCAATCACTGGGTGTGTGATTTTGGTTTGCATTAAATGACATGAAATAGAATGTTCAAATATACATAGTATTTTATAGCCAGCGAAGTATTGAACTGTGGGAATATGTGAGAAAAATATTCCGTTGGGACCCATTGTCCGTATCACACCAGTACATAGTTTTTATCATCTTCAGTGGTGAACATTTCTTAAAAGCACACATATCTTAGTTATTCGGTTTATAATAACCTTTAACATGGTGTTATGCGATCCACACTACCCACTAATAAACTATATGTTATACATCTTGCCAATAATTTTGCTCTATCCTCACTATTATCTACTAGTAATATTTCAAGAAGAAAAAAATGAAACAAATTTTAAGTAATTTGAAACTTGTATGTGTATTAACAAATGTTTTAAAACACTGAATCTTCTACTAGGCAATACTAGGAGAACTTTTGAAAGTCGAACTTTTGGTCTTTTAAATGACAATGATGGATAAACAACATGCTCTGATGCTTACTTAGTACAGTGATTTGCAAATAAACAGTTTGTAGTGATTATTTGTCATAATTTTATTACTATTATTATAGTTCCCTTAGACTCGAAGTGGAACATAGGGCTTCAACAACACATCACCACTTTCTTCTGTTTTCTGCCGTCATTTTCAGCTGGGTCGATGATTCTATACAGTCTCTCATATCCTTCTGGTCACAAGATCTCCTCTGTATCACCTTCGCACTGACGATCTACTTATCGTTTCCCCGTTCGGATACTACTCGAGTGATGGCTTAGTGTGTGATATCATCCGAAGGTCTCCTCAGAGTATGCCCCCAATCCATCTCCATTTTCTTCTAAACATTCATTGAGCAATCGGCTCTTGTTTATTCTGTTGCCAGAGTTTATTATTACTAATCCTTTCAGGCTGGCCATTTCATCTTCCATATGGAGCCATCGAGGGTAGCTGATGATAAAGTCTTTTCATGACGCGCTGGCGAAGTTTCTTACCATTATAGAAGCACCTACTGACTTCACATTTGTGTCGAAAATCCTAATCTAGTTGTTTATGCTGTGGAGTGTTGTAGAAGATTTCCAAACTGATTTCAGACTGATGAAGTTGTATCTCGCCTTTTCGATTCTGGCTTTGAAATCTTGTTGTATTTAAGGGATTAGTATTTTCTTTTTATTTCTTTGTATTCCAAGTGAAGGATAGGGCGTCAGGTCTACACTTTCAATTCTAAGTAGCAGTAATGTTATTTTTTACGGGGTGGGTTTGGTAAACTCACTAGAATTACTACCAGCCAGGCTAGGTTAATGGAATCGAACACCAGACCAAGTAGGTGGTTGGAAAGTATTCTATAGTTGGATCACCGACGCGCGTACGTAAGGGATACGTCATGTTATCAACTGGAAATAGTCATATAATCGATTTCTTAACGAATCATCCAGTTGAATTTCGAAATCATTAAGTATAAACTGTAAATATGTAAAAAATGAATATTCTTTTCTCTAAACTGTATGAAGTGTTCACTAATATTATTGTCCTGATATATTATCTCGAAATTTTGTTTCAGTGTTTTACTGTCCGACCGAGAACTGCACCGACATTTCAGGTTTAATTCACTATAATTAATTTCCACAATTTTTAAATAGATTTAAAGCTCCTTCCTAACTCATAATTATGTTTCCATTTCAGTCAAAATTCAACTGTACAGTTGCATTAGTTAACAGAATCTGTGTTAAACTCCTATAGATAGTTTCATTGATAATTGGTTTAGTTCAGAAATGAAGCAATCCTAGAATAGTGAAAGAAAATAGAATCTTATTTGTTCTGTACTTATATACCATCTTTCCTTTTCTGTCCAATCTCAACAGATAAAGATTTCTCCTAATTTCCTTTTTTTTAACTTTCCTTTAAACATATAAATGCAGATGTCATATGTACCATATAGTTGTGTGCAACCAGAGAAACCATTCAAACCACTAGTGAATCTAGCACCAAATGGTCCATTCAGTGATCAAACAAACTATCGTACAGAATATGTACCAAAGGTTATCTGTCCGTGTTGTCCAGCACAATTTTTAAATCAAGAACAAATTAGTCCAGATGGATATAAATTTAATGTGAGTTATAGTGTTATGTTGTAGTTTATTGACTCACCACTTCACTAATTGTTTGGTGATGGGTAGCAATCGAATCCAGGATGTGTTTTTTATCTGTTTGTGATTTGTTAACTGGATGAATGCATGTACATCTCCAGTGATTTGTGGGGCTCCCATTGAGACTCGAACCTGGTAGTTATAGTTTCAAACGCCTGAGTGGGTACATCCAGTTTATGTGTCCCAACAAAAGGACTAACTTCTTTTACCTAGGTCTTAATCAGTACTCTGCCTATCCTGAAAGTACTGAGGAGCGAGTGAAAAGCAGAAATAAAAACAATTCGCAACCTGTCTGTAACCATAAGTATATTCATAACGAATGTGATTAGAATTTAGTAATATAAAAGGTTTACAACTCATCCGTACCCGGAGAATTAGTGGGCTCGAAGAGTGTGTTGTGTTTCTCTTTTTTTGATCAAACTAGCGTACACGTATATCCTAGTACTTCCTCGCGTTTATTATTGTGTCCTAACGTTGTGATTCCTCAACATCCACAGCGTAAATCAAAAGGTACTTGAGAAGGAGTAAGAATGTGTATTAACGCGGTAATCAAAATTCAAAAGTCGAGAGAGCACAAAAGTATCAACTGTAACACGTAATATTTGGAGTGATAAACAAATCAAAGTCTAATTACATAGTGAAAGTATACTACAAAGATGAGTAATAAAATGGGTCACTACAAGTGTGCTCGTAGAAGACCACAGCGATGGAGCAAGCGTGCAAGCACCGAAACGTACAGGAAGTGAAGCGCAGTGAAGTGGCGTAGGGCCAAAAAGATGGGTGAATGAGTTGAAACAAAAGTTCAAAGGTTCAGTGTACACTACAGAGGAATAAATACAGCTGAAGTTCTAAGATATGATTCTACATTACTGGAGCACATAAGATCATGAGTGAACTAGAATTCCAACACATTCTAATACTTTTAAATTGCACAGCAGCATTTTCTGTGCAGTCAACCCAAATAGTTTCATCATTATATGAATTCTACTTAGAAAATGAACCGACAATCTTAGACTTCATGTCAGACTACATCCATTTAAATTTAAAGTATTCAGTTAAAACTAATACTGTTTTCTATAGGTAATGTCATAGATTATAATAAATAAGTGCAGACTAAGATATATTTTGATCTTTTAAATTAATCGTAGAGTCATAGTCTACTTCTTTTCTTTATCTTCTCTTATTTTCAGAGTTACGATGAACGTGGTCATCAGATGTATCATCAAGTTGGCAGAGGTAAAGTTACCTTACCACCTTTACCAGTGAAATAAAGTTGAAGTACGGTTCATAATATTATAAAAGGAATTCGAAGGAAAAATTGAAATCGTTATGTTTAAATATTTCTACTAGCGCCTAATGGTTTTGTCTTCAAACTGCGTTAACAGCGTAATACATAAACACGAAAAAAAGGTTTGAAACATACAGTATTTGCAAAATCGGTACACAAATTATTATTACTTTAAGGAGTAATAAAATTTACTTATCTCTATCTATATTCAAGCTGAATAATCTCCTCTGCCTGATTACACAACTTGTGAGAATTTCACTCAACCTATCTCGCTTAAAATTCAATGTACGTAGGACATCAGACGTCTCGACAAACGAAACAAAATCTGTTTTGCACAAACTCCAAGTCATTTGAATAATCACTGTTGCTAAATATACTACACCTATGAATTAAAATTCCGTAATTTCAACAGATTTATGTACATCCGGGATGTACAACAAGCATTAATGTAACTTCTACTTCGCAAATAACAACCATCACTACTGAAACCACTACATTCAGTAAAAATTTTAATTTATTCATGTGTTTTAATGATAATAATATATCTGCTAAATATTTTCAGTAAAGTTGACTGAAATTTCGCCTTCTGTTTTGTCGTTTTATTTTACTAATTAATCTAGCACACTGAGCATGAGCGACTGGTAACTGGATGATTTTTATTACTGACTCAAGAAGGAAGGTATCTGAGCAAGCATTTGTAGCGGTACGTGACTCCCCAAAAATTATTAGCCACAGCATTCATCAATGAACATAGGATGCTAACCCTCACTGTTTGAGTCGACTTTTTTAGCTGAAGGCCCATGGTCAAGCATCAACACCACTTAGCGCACCGTTGTGTTACATTCGTTTGTTCGTACACGATCCCTAGCTAATTAAGCAATCAACTTCGCACCACGATTTGGTCTCCAAATATGCTTCGTAATTTGGACGATCAGTTTTGGTGTCCCGCTTTGCCTTTGGCCTACGTGCGGTGAATGCCGTAGAAGTTGTGGATATTTGAGTTAGTAGACTTCATACTGTCCGTTAACGTCAACACCCTTAGGCTATGAAGTAGTGACGTCTGGGACTGTGACACTGTGTGAAGTGAGTTCTAATCTCAGGGGGGACACGAGCACCTTTAGGGCTGGAAATACAGCTGGCTAACGAGTGCTAACAAGCACGAAACCTAGCTCTATCGCCTCATGCCGCCTGCTTACAACCATCTGGCAACGATTCAGAGTGCGATGTGACGGTTGGCTACCTAGAATATTGGCATATTGTAAGTCTGACTGGTAGCATTCAGTCTGCGCAATTCAAGGCACTAAACGGATAACATTAAATAATTGTTACCCTATGTTCATTCAAAAAATCTGTCTTCAGCCCTCACCCATTATATCAATTACTAGATTCATGACAGCCTAAGATTATTTACTGGTGTAGCGGTCAAGCATCCCCGCCATTTGGTACCCCGTCGTGTTACGTGCACGATCATTAGCTAGCTAAGCGTTCGTCTGAAGGTTTGTTTTGGTCCCGAAATATATCCGAAGTTTGGACGATCAATTATTGGCTTTTGCTTTGTTTTCGGTACGCGAGAATAATTTAGAGGCGGTGTAAGATAATTCCGTCAAACCCCCTAAACTGGTGAGCCCAACCGCGAACTTGATCCACGATAAATCCGCAGATAACCCCGGTGAGTTCGTTCCATTTTGTATTTGTTCTTGTACCATATGTTATTCGACATAATTTTCGTCATGAGTGATCTTAGTCCCAAGGTCATCCGTATCTGCTCAACTCCCAAAACCATTCAGCTCGTACCATACTGGCCAGATAATGCTGAAACGTGGTTTCTGCTAGCTGAAGCAGATTTTTGTGAGCATGGAATAACCGATCAACATTCACAGTTACTTGCAGTTATTCACGCCCTACCGCGGGAATTCAGCAAGTACGTAACATCACAGATGTTCAGTCCCGAGGTAAGTAACTCGTACGAGCTGCTGAAAGCATCCCTCCTCAGGAGAAACGTTCTCACGATCCGACAACGTTTAGAGGAATTATTTCGTAACATCGAGTTAGGAGATCAGTCAGCCGTGAGCATGCTGACAAGAATGAAAGAAATTGTTGGAAAAAGTCAGTTCGACGAAGGACTATTTAGAGAACTCTTCTTATCCAAGCTGCCACAGTCTGTACAGACCGTACTTGTGACACTTCAGGGTGCTGTAATAGAGGACTTAGCTATTACTGCAGATAGGATTCTAGAAATAACTAAACGGTCAGTTCCCGAAATATGCTCGATGACTAAGCAGACTTCGAGTAAGGATCCTGCAATGATAGAGTTATGCAACTCCATCCAACAGATGTTTAGGTCGAACATGCATTTTAACTCCTCCGACCGTCGTCCTAAATCTCCTCAACGCAGAAACTCACGTGGTCGATCTAAGTCCAAACCACGTTCACTGAAAAACGCCAACTGGTGCTGGTACCACAACACCTATGGCCAAGAAGCGAAGTGTTGCCGTAAGCCTTGTAACTTCGGAAATGTCTCAAAGTCTGTGGGAAACTATCCCGCCGGCACGCGTTAGCGGCAACCGTCGCCGGTGGCACTAGCCGCCTTCTTTACATCCATGATGTGATAAGCTGGACTCGCTGAACAGACTGATTATGCCAGACGTAAAACGCGAAGGCTGATAGGATGCATAACACGCAATTTCTTTTGTTGTGAAACTAGGGTTTTATTATACAAAGTATGTGTCCGACCTATCTTAGAATACTGCCCGTTTATTCTTAGTGGACTAAGACAAAATGACAAGCTTAAATTAGAGGGAGTACAACGGCAGTTTACCTCAAGAACTCTTGGTTTAGAAAGTGGTCTGGAATACCATGAGCGATGCGTAAGACTAAGATTAGAACCCCTCTGGAAAAGACGCCTTAAGCTAAACCTTATCTTTTACTATAAGCTAACTAATCTTCTCTTGTATTCCTCCGAGCCAATAACTAAACCTACCGCTGTCATCAGTTACAATCTTAGGAATCATGACAACCTAGCTGCTATGGAGCACTGTCAGACTTACGTGCGGTACAACTTCTTCTTAAATAAGTTTTCAGTCATTTGGAATAGACTACCAGCTAATGTGCGCGATGCAAACACACTTCCAGTGTTCATCTCCTCAGTCACCAGACTACTCAAAGATGACAATGCACTTTTGCGCCTGACTCTTACACCTTCTTTTTCACCCTACATAGATATTTTAAGTTCTTTAAACGTGTAGTTACAACCAACTACAATTATAAATTTTAATATTATTGGAACTAGATGATTAACATTTCTACACAGGACAGTAATAATATTAGTTTACACATAATATAAAAGTTAGCATAACGGGACTAGTTAGTTTGTGTACCAAAATAACCACAGTTACGAAACAGAATATATATGTATATATTTATTAATCACTCCTTAAGGACTCCCGTTGCTTTCTTTTGCGTTGCTGTTGTTTGTCTTCTTTTTTCTCTCACCATTTCAGCTTCCATTTGACTTTTTGAATGAGAATGAATAATGTGGATATTTGACCATTTACAATGACAAATGATCTGCAAACATTATTGGTCCAGTATCTTTCAGTTGCCTGGTTAATAACGAATTAACTTTCTCCACGACGCAACCTGGATTACATTTGTGGAATATACTCTTATACCAATGGAAAAGTATCTATTTGTAATACAACGTCACGATTGTAGCTGATAACATAACTGATCGTATCTGTAAAAATAGCTTCCTTATTACCCAATTTGGATATAAATAAATCAGAAATGAGATTCGGACTTGTACACACCTAAGTGATATTGAGGAATTACTTCAAGCTTTATTTTTTCCCAAGTATTTTTAATCCATCTAAAACTTACTTGGGTTTTTTTGTTAATGCGAAGTTAATATTCCTATATTTCATGACGTGCTCCATTGAATGACTGGTTATCATATTGTTCCCACAGACCTAAGACAAAAACGCCAGCAACCATGTAACTTAACCATAAACCAAATTTATGAAATTTATATAATGCTTATCCATGCCTGTATATTTGGTGTGTCCTACACAAGTAGGAAAAAATGTGTATTTTATTAAAACATTATTATTAATTATGATTGCTAATCGTATATGTAATTTATCATATTGATGATGCCTGTAAACTGGCGTCTCTCACGTACAAAATGAGAATATACTATTATTATTATTATTATTATAATTTTCGTCATGAGTGATCTTAGTCCCAAGGTCATCCGTATCTGCTCAACTCCCAAAACCATTCAGCTCGTACCATACTGGCCAGATAATGCTGAAACGTGGTTTCTGCTAGCTGAAGCAGATTTTTGTGAGCATGGAATAACCGATCAACATTCACAGTTACTTGCAGTTATTCACGCCCTACCGCGGGAATTCAGCAAGTACGTAACATCACAGATGTTCAGTCCCGAGGTAAGTAACTCGTACGAGCTGCTGAAAGCATCCCTCCTCAGGAGAAACGTTCTCACGATCCGACAACGTTTAGAGGAATTATTTCGTAACATCGAGTTAGGAGATCAGTCAGCCGTGAGCATGCTGACAAGAATGAAAGAAATTGTTGGAAAAAGTCAGTTCGACGAAGGACTATTTAGAGAACTCTTCTTATCCAAGCTGCCACAGTCTGTACAGACCGTACTTGTGACACTTCAGGGTGCTGTAATAGAGGACTTAGCTATTACTGCAGATAGGATTCTAGAAATAACTAAACGGTCAGTTCCCGAAATATGCTCGATGACTAAGCAGACTTCGAGTAAGGATCCTGCAATGATAGAGTTATGCAACTCCATCCAACAGATGTTTAGGTCGAACATGCATTTTAACTCCTCCGACCGTCGTCCTAAATCTCCTCAACGCAGAAACTCACGTGGTCGATCTAAGTCCAAACCACGTTCACTGAAAAACGCCAACTGGTGCTGGTACCACAACACCTATGGCCAAGAAGCGAAGTGTTGCCGTAAGCCTTGTAACTTCGGAAATGTCTCAAAGTCTGTGGGAAACTATCCCGCCGGCACGCGTTAGCGGCAACCGTCGCCGGTGGCACTAGCCGCCTTCTTTACATCCATGATGTGATAAGCTGGACTCGATACTTAGTCGACACAGGCGCCGAAGTCAGCGTCCTTCCTGCTACAGCAGCAGATCGACAGAAGGAACCTACCTTCAACTTGCAGGCTGCAAATGGAAAACCAGTTGCAACCTTTGGTAGGAAATACGTCTACTGAAC